TACGGAGAGTATCTCGCTCACACAGCAAAGCCTGGCAAGATACCCGTGACATATTCAATATGCCAAACACAGTAACAGCAAGTCTCACGATGGAGACGTTACTGGGCCCGCTCGACCAAATCGATGAACAACGTGAGGACAGTGAAGTGCAGTGCAGTACTGTTAAGAGTACAAAGAAAATGTTTCATAACAATGACTCCAATTGGAACAGAACACATTTTCTTTCTCACAAATCTTTGGCAGACATCTTCCTTTACATACCTTCAACAAAAGTCTGAAACTCACAAGGGCTATTTATCATGTCTACTAGCCTGTTTTTGCATAAGAGTATGATATAAAGTAAACGAAAATTACATAACCAGTCTCACCTAATCCAGTTTTCTTCTAACTTCCTGGTTCATTAAGAACTCACTGCTGTATCTCTGCTGCCCTCTATAGGATTGATTTTAGAAAACGCAAAAAAAAAAATGAATTTTAAAACCCAGACAAAAATATTGGACAAAATGGAAAGTTACATTAATAATTAACAACACTGTTCAATATCTACAGTATTATAAAGAGAAATTACTGTGATGTTTCATCTGGATCATGCTTTCTTTTCAAGTAAATATGTTATCATGCTATTCCACATGAAAACAATACAAATTAAGAAAAATGGTCATCAGACTGCATGAGCATTAATCTCATGATGCAATACTAGCTATGTCTCCATTCCTGTACCTATGAAATGAGGCTAATAATAACAGCTACCTCAAATGATAAGCTTGTAGCAAAGACTAGCATAAAAAATTCAGGGTTATTCTGTAGTTATTAATGTTATTATTGATACTACTGTTACTGATACTGTAATAGTATCAGATCATAGCTCTGAAGCCAGAGTGTCTAAGTTAGAATTCTGACTTTCCATTCCTATTTTATCACTGGCACTGTCACTGTCCTCCCGTTGTTCATCAATTTGCTCGAGTGGGCCCAGTAACGTCTCCATGTGAGACTTTGTTGTTACTGTGTTTGGCATATCGAATACGTTATGGGGAGCTTGCCAGACTCTGCCATGCGGGCGAGATACTCTCTATAGCTTGCCAGGCTCTCTGAGAGGGGCGGAGGAATCGAACTCAGGTCGGCTATGTTGGCTGCGTGCAAGGCAAACGCCGTACCCGTTGTGCTATCGCTCCAGCCCATTCCTACTTTATATAAAAATTATTTACTCTTCCAAAGAATTCTTATCTAAAAGTAGTTTAACAATCTTTCCTACTTTAAGGAGTTATTGTAAGGTAATTCATATAAGCTAATTCATATAACAAGACACTTAGAAGAAAGTCCATCTCAAGGAAGCACCGGTTATATAACCTCTTGCTACTATTATGAGTTGAGTTGTCCTTAAATAAAGCACTGGTAGAAAACTCTCCAGAAATTACAATATTACAAGAGTCATTAAGTATTAATTTAGGGAAGAATATTTTCTAAACCATTCTTCATCCTTGACAAAGAATTTCAGTTACCTGAATTACAATCCAAGATACCTCCTGAGTTAAAGCATGACTTTCCCATATAATATTCATTCACTCTATATGCTCCATCTCTACAAACACAGTATGAGAACAAAAATAACAGTCACTTGTGCTAAATAACAGACGCTGTGCTTCAAGAAGATTAAATAGTACAAGGGACCACCTCGGCTACCATGTAAGTTCATCCACCAGCCTTGTTCCAGAGAGTCATAAATAAATCTCAAAATATATCAATTAGTCACAAAAATCTCTCAGACACCTGTTTCTTCCTGAGACAGTCAGGACAGTCTTGAAACCCCAGCAGTCACTTACTCCCACATTCCAAAATCAATGCCATGCTGCTGACCAGACTCCATTGCCTCAGGACTGAGCCTCACAGAGAACTTAGCCTGCCAAAGACTCAGGTGCATGGGTCCCTGTGACTGAAAACCCCAGGCCTTCTCAGAGTCGGGATGGGCTACCTCCCCTCCACTTCCCTATACTTCAGGCAGTCATGCCCACATCCAAAGTCACCACCCAGTTAAAAATTTGACTCTAGCTGGACTACCCAATTAAATATTCTGGATGTTTTGGAGCGACATCTCCAAACTCTACAACACTGACAGTCCAGCAGTAGCACACCAGACTGGATGGGATAAAATGTAGAAGCCAACCAATCTCAACTAACAAAAACCTTAACACTGAAGGCTTAATTTGTAACAACATCTTAATAATCCCTCAGACAAAGACTTAGTGTTCCCATGGTGAGATACAATTTTCACTAATTTTCTTCTAAGTAAATATTTTTTAATCATTCCATTAGCAGTTTATTGGTAAGCAATATAAAATAGATTATTGTGGACCTGCTACAAGTGCAGAATTGAGGGGTGGTTGGGAAAACTGGAGAAAACGGTGGAGGGAAGGTGAGAGTGGTGGTGGGATAGGTGCTGGAATACTGAATGACTATAACGAATCATCATGAACACAGTTTGTAAATCACAGTGTTTAAATAAAGGGGGGGAGAGTTGGAGAAAAGAAGTAACAAAATGTTCAAGGTGCTGATAATGGCAACATACTAGTGATCCTCCTCAGCTGCTACCCCTTTTTCAGGCTCACTGGCCCAATTCACTACCAGGAAAAGATTTCAGAACAAGCGTCTATGGAAATTCCATGACAGATTATGAAGAAAGGCAAATCTGTAAAAACTGTACATCACATAGTTTACTTCTTTCAACCAATCTGAAATACTGAACTAATACAAGGTAATGGTTTTAGGTATTAACATCAATATTAGGAAGAAAGGATTGACATGACTAAAGATACTGATTGATGGATATCAGGAATTACAGAAGAGATTTATGGGGAGAAGCACTGGTGAAAAAGAAGGGGAAATGACAGGAATCACTGAGTTTTCGATAACAATGAAGATTGGAAAACTGTGAGAAAAGAAAGGAAAGAGGCTAAAGTAAGAAGTAACTCTAACTGCATTGCAGCTTTAAGAAACTTTCCAGGGCTACAAGGGACTTGGGTGCATGAGCATGACGTTGCTGGGGCTGCAGCCCTCGCTGGAATTCCTGGAACGACATATGATCTCTGAAGATCACCAGGGGTCGCTGTAGAGACAGAGTCTGGCTTTGAGTACTGCTAGGTATGGCCCGAGAACAACCAACACCCAAAGGGGAAATCTGGGCCAGATCAATGCTTATGTCTTCGATTCAAGGCTATCCCAAGAGCAGCTCTGTGAAAACGTGCCTCAAAAAGCTGCCACACGGGGTCGGGGCAATAGTACAAAGGGTAGGGCATTTGCCTTGCATGCGGCTGACCAGTGTTCAATCCCTGGCATCCCATATGGTCCCCAGAGCATCACCAGGAGTAATTCCTGAGTGCAGAGCGTGCAGAGCCAGAAGTAAACCCTGAGCATTGCTGGGTGTGAACCAAAAAGAAAAAAAAATCTGCCACAAGCGCCAGAGATAAAGTAAGGTATAAGGTACTTGCCCTACACACACTGACCCAGGTTTGATTCCTAGCACAGTACAATCATTCCCTCAAGCACTGCCAAGTGTGATCACTGAGCACAGAGCCAGGAATATGCCCTGAGCACAGCCAGGTTGGCCAATAAATAAATAAATAATATGAAAATAAAAATAAACAAACCAACTATATTCCAACAATGGTTGGAATAGTCCAACACAAATACAAGGATGACAGTTAAGACTATAATCCACTATGTGGCTTACGACCAGCTTCAAAAATATGTCTACAGAAAACCTTATTCAGGGGCTGGAGCGATAGCACAGCAGGTAGGGTGTTTGCCTTGCACGCGGCCGACCTGGGTTCGAATCCCAGCATCCCATATGGTCCCCTGAGCACCGCCAGGAGTGGTTCCTGAGTACAGAGCCAGGAGTGGCCCCTGAGCATCGCCGGGTGTGACCCAAAAAGAAAGAAAAAAAGAGGAAAACGTATTCAAAGGTTGTCCATTATCAACATGGACTATTGCTTTGAATGTTCATGAACTTCAGGCAGGCTAGACCACTTCCTTAGTAATACTCATGGCAGTAACCTAAATGGGCATGGGGGAGGGGCATCAGAGATGTAAAGGTGCAGTACATTTATACATCTGAAACAAAGTCACAGCACAAAAAGCATGATGTAACTACAACAACCAAACTTAAAAGTGTGCCTGTCAAGGGGGTTGATTGGGGGTAGGAATGAACCTGGGGACATTGGTGGAGGGAAGATGACACTGGTCACAGGATTGGTGTTGGAATATTGTATGCCTGAAGCTCTCTTACAAATAACTTTGTAAATTATGGTTCCTTAATAATTTAAATTACATTATAACCAAGTTACTTTAAATAATTAAAATATCAGAAAAACTACTGAGTCAAAGGTGGCACTTTATTTAAACACCGTGATTAAAAAAATTTTTTTAATCGCCAAGGGCAGCCGGAGTGATAGCAGAATAGGTAGAGTACTTGCCCTTCACATGGCCAACTCAGTGTTCAATCCCCAGCACCCAGAATGGTACCTGAGCTCACCAGGAGTGGTCCCTGAATGTGGAGCCAGGAGTAAACCCTGAACAACACTGGGTGTGGTCCCCTACGCCCCTTCAAAAAAAACAGAGCTGGAAGGGATCCTGGGCCTGAGGCAATTCTGTACACTGGAGTGGCTGGTATCCCTAAGTCTTCGAACTGCCTACCAGCCTCTCTGGGCCCTCACCCTCCTTTAAAAAATTGTTAAGATATTTTAAAGGGAAGCCAGAGTGACAGGACAGAGTAGGGTGCATGCTTTGTGCCTGGCCAACCTAGGCTCAATCTCTATCATTTCACAGGGTCTGTCCATATGGCCCAAGCCCTGCCCAGTGATTCCTTAATATATGTAGGGCTAGAGTCAATCCAGGAGTAACCCCTGAACATCACCAGGTATGGCCTAAAAACAAACATTGCCAAGAGACTTTATTAACAAGTAGCACAAAGAGAATGAAATACTGAACAAGAAATAATTCACTCTTACTTTAGGAAGTTCAGCCAGCCTCTCTCCACTTGTCAAAGAAGGACTGCTGGCACAAGAAACACAGTCTGAAATGTCCACCGCACTCTCCAAGTCTTCAGAGTCATTACTGAAGTCACCAGCATCTTCCTTCTCACTGTCGGTTTCCCAGTCAATAAGGTGCAGTTGATCTAAAAATGCAATTTTAAAATTAACTCCATTAGTCCCAATAGTTTTAAAGTCCACTTACATTCTTAATAGTTAAAAAGGATTTACACTGCTCTATAACTTTATGAATATTAAAAAAAGTAAAAACATATTCTTCCTATTTCTAGCTATTCTGCATCTCCCAACTCTTATCCCATTCTAATTCTCAAATAACTACTTCTATTATTTGTTTTTGTATCCTTCTGGTTTCTCCAACATGTTTGAGGAAAATATACTTTTATATTTTTCTCTTTTCTGTAACTATCAGTAAACACAAGACATGCACATTCTTTTCTGAAAAATAGTAACCCATTGCATACCTGACCCTTAGTTTATTTAATCAGTCTCCTAGTCATAAAAACATTTTCAAGGGTTTTCACCCATAATTTTTCTACAGACATTTCTTATCAATTAAGAAGCAGGTTAAGAGATTTAGGTTTTAATTTTCTTTATAAGAATTATTACCTACTTTTGCTAAGTCTGAATTTGAAAGTTAAATAATTTTCATATAGTAAACAACCAAATGTATACTTTCAACTTGTATAAAATAAACCTTTCCTACAGTACCAAAGCACAGGCCTCCCTCAGTTTCCTTGTTCTGTTTTGGGTCACACCCAATTAAGCTCAGGGATTAGTTCTGGCTCTGTGCTCAGGGATCACTCCTAGCAGGGCTTGACGAACTACATGGGGTGCCAGAGAATGAACCCGGTCCCTCAGTTATTAAAGCAACTCATAGGGTTAGTAAAATATCTTGCTGGATTTTTTTGGTGGGGGAGGTGACCATACCCTGCGGTATTCAGGCCTTCTCTTCTGACTGGGTGCTCAGAGGTTGCACCTGGCAATGCTCTAGAGACCATGCAGTAGCAGGAATTGAATCCAGGACTCCGGCATGCAAAGCATGTGCTCAGCCCACTGAATGATCTCTCTCTATGATCCACAGTAAGGCAGCCTGAAGCAATTTCAAATGTTTGCAAAAGCACAAAGATAATTATTTCCATACCTAATATCACATTTACTCATAAAAGGCAAGCAAGAGAAGACATAAGAAATTCCCTGGAAAGATTCCTCCAGACCCTGCGCCAGGCTGAACCTCATATCCGGGGCAGCCTGGAGGGAGCAGGGGTGGGACTCACCCACCACAACAGTCTTGGCAGCCGATCTCCACAGGCTCGGGACAAGCCTCAGCTATGAGTGAATAAATTTACTGAAAAATTCAGGTATGCGGATTTTGTGACCGAAATCTCCAGGCTCTCACAAGGTCAGAGACAGGCGACCTCCCCCATCGCCCTGTTCTTCCAAGAGCCTGGCAGTCACAGCCATGAACTGTCTCTGGCACCATGTAGTCTCATTAATGGCCATGATCCAGAGACTCACAAATAAATCTCCAAAGAGATTAATAAGCTGCAGAGATGCCTCCAGACTCCAAAGTCTCTATCCAGTTGAATATTTAACTGCACCTGTATTACCCTATTTAAAATTTTAGAATTTCTTACATTTCATACTCTACACCACTATTATACCAGGAGTAGCACACCAAATTGGATGGAATGTAAAATAGAAGGCAATTGGTCTTGATTTTTAAAAAATATATGTGGGGGCTGGACTGACAGTACAGCGGGTAGGGCATCTGCCTTGCACACGGCCGACCCGGGTTCGATTCCCAGCATCCCATATGGTCCCCTAAGCATCGCCAGGAGTAATTCCCGAGTGCATAAGCCAGGAGTAACCCCTGTGCATCACCAAGTGGGATCCAAAAAGCAAATAAATAAAATATACATATGTGTGTGTGTATATATATACATATATATGTATGTATATTAGCACACAAGGCTCAATCTGTAACATCATATTGTAAATCTCTTTTAAAAGGGCTTAATGACTCCAGGCTGAGATTCAACCATCTTCACACAACTTTCTTTGATCATTTTTAGTGAATTATTCATAACAAGCAATACAAAACAAATTATTTAGGACCTGCTATTGGGGCAGACTTTCGTGATGGCTGGGAAAATTCAAAGTAATGGTGGTAGGAAGGTGTAACAGTGGTGGGATTGGTGCTGAACACTGAATGTAATAAATTATTGTGAACAACTTTATAAAAATAAAATAAAAAATTCAAAATAGAAAGAAGAAATTCCCTGGGTTACTGAACACAGCGGGAAACCCAGAAGAGAAGCATAACTGTGCTCAGAGCTCCTGCAAGTACAGCTAGTACCAATATTTCTGTGGCATTCAGTCATTCATTTCTCAATTAGTCAATAAATCAGTGCCTTGATACTGGTTCCACATGTCTGAGAGCCTGTGGAAGGCTCTCAGATCCATGGCACTGCAGGGATCCCACAGGTCTGAGGCCCTAAGCACCACAGCAAAGGTCAAGCCCTGAAGCACAGTATCACCAGGCTGAGTAACCCCAGGAGTGGCTCCCTGTGCACTCTCCCAGCACCACTAGGCCTGGCCTCTATTTGAAAAGTAAGGAGATGGAAAGTACAGTGGGTAAGGAGACTCCAGTTCTTGCCTTGCATGCAACCAACTTGAGTTTGATTTCCAGTACCTCATATGTTCCCCAGAGCACTGCAAGGACTGATCCCTGAGCACATACTGAGGAATAAGTCTTGAGTACAGTCAGGTGTGGTCCAAAAATACAGAAAAAGAAAGGGGTCTAGAGAGATAATACTGAAGGTAGGTAATTTGCCTTGCATGTGGCCTATGTGGTTTCAATTCCTGGCACCCCATATTCCTCAAGCCTGCCAGATGTGATCCCTGGACACTGCCAGGAGTGGCCAAAAAAGAAAAAATGAGGAGCCAGAGAGACAGTACAGAGGGTAGGCATTTGTCTTATATACACCATCCCAAGGATGCAAAGCTGCTAGGACCCTGTAGCACTGGGGATACCCAGGACATGCAAGCGGTGCAAGGAGGTCTCCACCAGGGATGCTCCTGGTAAAGCCCAATGGACCATCTGGTGCTGGGAATCTACCCTGAGCCAATCACAACACAAGGAATCCACCCTGTACTCTATCTCAGGCCCCACCTCTCTAGTCTTGGAGTTGGGGAGTTACTGAGCATCTGTTAACAGAAGAGAATGTAAATAGTTTTTGTTTTACATATAGGCTTTGGTAGACCTGATTCAAAGACCCATTGGTCACCCATAAAATATACTGACTGCTCTTCATGCCTAGGATAAACCCAGGGCCTCATACATACAGGCATGATCTCTGCCACTGGACTATATCTGAATCTAAAACATTCAGAATTTAATAACAAAATAATGTTCAAAAAGAAATAATAACAAACCAAATGTTACAAAGCAATCAATTTCCTTAAAACATTTGATCACAATATATGTGAGTTTATGTATAACCTTCAAAATACCGCTTTCCTGGTTAGTACTAAAATGTCAGTTGGTAAAAATGATGGTTGCACTAGACACACAGTGATAAAAAGAATGTATTCACCTTCAACAAGAGCTGTGTAAACAAAATGTACCTTGAGTAACTAACTGAACAAAACTATCAGAGTTCAAAATCAAAGCTTATTTTTAAAGCATTAAGACTTTCAATGCGGCCTCAGGGCATCTTATCAGGACATCTTTTTATGACATCTTATTATCTCATTCCTACTTTGGACAAACTTGCAGGCTATCAAATGTAGCCTGCCCACAGGGCAGAGTCTGGCAAACTCCCCGTGGCGTACCAAATATGCCAAATGCCAGTAACAATGATGGGTCTCATTCTCCTAAAGAGCCTTGAATATAATCTCAGGGCTAAGATGAAAGAGACATTACTGGGGCCTGCTCGAGGCAATCGACGAATAAGACTTTCAAATATTCCAGATAAGGATGTTTGTTTTTTTATTTGCCTTCGGTTTTTTAGTGGTTTTTTTTTTTCTGGTTTTTGGGCTGCCCCCAACTGTGCTCAGGGCTTACTCCTGGCTCTGTGCTTAGGGATCACTTCTGGCAGAACTCAGGGAACCATATGGACTGCTACAGATTGAACCCTGGTTAGCTGAGTGTAAGACAAGCACCTTAAACTGCTGTTTTTAAATATGGAAGAAAAAAAAAACACTATTTCCATAATTCTGGATCTGTGACTCTCAGCTGGGGATGATTTCATTTTACTGGGGACATACAACGATAGGAGATATTCTTGGCTTGGAGCACAACTGTCACTTAGTGCGTGAGGGACAGAAACACTGCTAACCACCCTGCAATGCAGAGGGCAAATCCCCACAATCTACAAGGAATTACCTAGTAAGAAACTGCAATAGCACCAAACTTGAGAAACCCTATTTTAAACTGTCAATATAAAGTGACATCAAAACAGAAACATGTTGATGAGTTCTACCACATACTGATAGGTTATCAAGGAGGCAATATGGGTTCAGCATTCCGTAGTGACTGAGAGAACTGACTTTGATGAACAGATTCAAAGGGGTGTCTCAACCAGTTTTAACATACTCTTGCTTAAATTGTTAACTAAAAAATAATTCTTATGGGGTTCAAAATATACTACAGTGGAGGCAACAAATCATAGACGGAAATATATATATGCATATAGCACAGTGGTAGGGCGTTTGCCTTGCACGCAGCCAACATGGCCGACCCGAGTTCGATTCCTCCGCCCCTCTCGGAGAGCCCGGCAAGCTACCGAGAATATCTCGCCCACACAGCAGGGCCTGGCAAGCTCCCTGTGACGTATTCGATATGCCAGACACAGTAACAACAAAGTCTCCAATGGAGACGTTACTGGGCCCGCTCGAGCCATATTCAGACAAAAATACCAAAGCTCACATCAACCAAACCTTAACAAGATGTTAGTGATACCCTATTGAATGTCTTAATGGCTCCTGCCAATATATAACAATCTTCACACTGTTTCCTATATGAACACTTTTTTGTAAGCATGTTCAGCAGTTCTTCATAACAGACAATACATAATATAATCTTTCATTTGTGTTTTGGGACAGGGATTGGGGCTTGGGATGGAAACATGCCGAATTTGGTGGTGAGAAGGTGTAATGATGGTGGGATTGGTGTTTGAATATTAAATGTAATCAAATATTGTGAAGTAACTTATAAAATAAAAAATTTTAAAAAAATACTACAGTGGGTAAGGCGCTTGTCTTACACCTGGCTAAGCTGGATTCAGTCCCCAGTAGCCCATACGGACACCAAGCACTGCCAGGAGAGAGTCTTAAATGCAGACCCAGGAGTAATCTCTGAAAACTGCTAGGTGTGACCCAAAAACCAAAATAAGAGTAGCAGCAATAATACTGATAACTCCCAACATCTAGAGATCTAAAAGAAATATTAAATAATGAAGTATCTCTGAAGGACTTCAGCTCAGTACAATCATAATGCTAATAATCAAAATAGAAATGTGCTTATTTGTTTGTTAAGCCATACCCAGCAGTTTCAAGGGTTACTCATTGGATCTGGGCTCAAAGATCACCTGTGGCTCTTACACAACCCTTAATCCCTGGACTATCTATCAGGTCCAAGAAATACACTTATTTTCAATATTGACTCCATATACACTGTATACAACAGTTCTGGTTTTGTTCTGGTTTTGTTTTGGGGTGACAGCCTATTGTGCTCAGGACTTAACTCATAGCTTTGTGCTCGGGGATCACTTTAGCAGGCTTAGGGGATCACATGTGGTAAAGGGATCAAACCTGTGTGTCACCTGCAAGGCAAGCATCCTACCAACTGTACTATTGCTCTGTTCCAAACTTGTATGAACAGATTTCTAACAAAATTACCAATTACCTTCATTGGTCCCATCTTCTGGACACAAAATATTCCTGCTACAAAATCTGTCTATTTGAGAACCATGTCCAGTATCTCTCTGTGATTCAAGAAACGTTTTATCTTCTGACAGATCACTTTCACTCCAAATCCATGTAGTATCTTTAAGCACACTGGTACTCTTAGATGTGGCAACTTCTGTTAAAGGCAAAGCAAAAATATATGAAACTACCAACTGACAGTAATACTATAAATATACTAGTTTTCCAGAGCAACCAGTACACAAAGTTCTGATCGTGGAATAAATGTTTTTTGGTCAATTCTTCCTGCCTAAAGAACTGTGAAAACCTGGCTAAGAGTTTTTGAATGAAAGCCAAATTACAAGATAAAAACTGAAATATAACTGAGGTAAGTTAAAAAACAATCAGGAAAACGGAGCACAAATGTAAACAAAAAAGCAACCTTGAAATACTTATAGTTTCCTTAAAATATATGGTTAAAAAAAAACCTATTGTTATGTGTATATGAAATGCTTCTGTGTGCCCCTATGCCAGACTAGGTGCCCTAAGTAATGGCAGTGTTAGAAAACTTAACAGCAAGCATTGTTATTGAACCAAACTTGTCAATTCTGAGATATTAGTATATTCACAGAGAAGAAATAATAGAAAGTTCTGGTGTGCTTCACCTAGTGCATTTAATGGCAACATTTTGCAAATAGTAATATAACATCACAGCTCAAATGTTGATAGCAAACAGCCAAGAGACCGAAGAATCCCATCACCAGGAAAATATCCAAGATAGCCTTTTAAGGCCACACCATAACCTCCTTTGACTAGAGAGATAATACAGTAGGTCTTGCATGCGGCTCAATGCCTGGACCCTATATGGTCCCAAGCCAACCAGGAGTGATTACTGGACACTGAATCAGGAGTAAGCTCTGAGTAAAACTGTGTGTGAGCTCCCAATCCTGCCCCCAAAATAAATAAATAAATAAACAGCCTCCCTTGGTCCCAACTGCTAACCTGTGTCAACCACTATTTAATTCTGCACTTCTATAATTTTATCATGTCAAGAATGACAAAAATGACATCTATGTTACCTTTTAGAACTAATTTTTATATGTGATATAATAATCTGGACAATCATCAAAGATTTATATATAACAATTCGGGTTTTCTTTATTACTATGTAGTGATTACATGACATGGGTGTACAAGTCTGTTTAATCATCTGCTTTCTAAAATATGTATTGTTTCCAGTTTGGGAGTATAAGTCAAAACTTCCAAACATTTTTTTCTAGAGTAACTGTACTATTTCACATTCCTGTCAGTAATATATAAATTATTCCTATATTCTTTGCATCATTAATGAGTTCGATATTGTCACTCTTTTCTATTTTATTTCTTCTGACAAGAAATGTAGAAGGAATGGGGCTATTCCATCTTGGTAGAAATAAATGTCAGTAAGAACTTTTATGATGTGAATCAGTACCAGTATTAAGCATGCACAAAAAATATTAGCAGAGCGGGTAGGGCATTTGCCTTGCAAGCAGCCAACATGGTCGACCCAGGTTCAATTCCTCCGCCCCTCTCAGAGAGTCCAGCAAGCTACCGAGAGTATCTCGCCCGCACAGCAAAGCCTGGCAAGCTCCCCGTGACGTATTCAATAAGCCAAACACAGTAACAGTTGTCACAATGGAGATGTTACTGGGCCCGCTCGCAAATCAAGGAATCCATATTAAACAACTAATAAAACTGAGATGTGTACTTGTAAAAGATACAACCTATCATTATTATGCATCAAAAAGAAATGAATCATATAAGACAAGGCTGAACACTCACCACTCTAATTCAATATAGTACTGGAAGTAACTGCCATAGCAGTTAATCAAAAAAAAAAAAGATATCAAGGGCATCCAGTAGGAAGGAAGAAGACAAGCTTTCACTACTTGCAGATGACATGATACTAAGAAAATCCTAGTGATTCTACAAAAGGGCTTCTAGAAACAACAGATTTGTATAATAAAGTGGCAGGTTACAAAAATCAGATTTGTATAATAAAGTCAAAGTCCAAAGTCCATGGCACTGCTATACATAAATAATGAAAGAGAAGAAAGAGCCATTTTTTGAAAATTCTATTCACATTTGTGCCTCAGAAAATTAAGTACCTCAGAATCAGCTGAACTAAAAAGGTGAAACACCTACACACAAAAAAAACTACAAAACACTACTTCAAGAAATAAAAGAGGACACAAGGAAGTGGAGACACATTCCCTGCTCACAGACTGGGAGGATTAAAATTGTCAAAATGACAATACTCCCCAAAGCATTGTACAGATTCAATGCAGTCCCTGTAAGGATACGCAAGACATTTTTCAAAGAAATAGATCAAACACTCTTGAAATTCATATGGAAAACTAAACCCTCACGAATAGCTAAAGCAATTACTGGGAAAAAGAAGATGGAAGGCATCACCTTCCCCAATTTTAAACTCTACTACAAAACAGTAGTAATAAGCCCCCAGGGCATATTCCCAGACATGATATTGCTGGGTGATACGAAAGCTCAATTTCTAGCTTTCTGAGGAATGTCCATATTGTTTTCCTAAAGGTCTGGACCTGTTAGCATTCCCACCAACAATGAATTAGGGTCCCCTTCTCCCCTCACCCACACCAGCGCTGGTTGCTCTTGTTCTTTTTGATGTTTGCCAGTCTCTGTGGTGTGAGATATCTCATTGCTGTTTTGATCTGCATCTCCCTATAGGGCATTTTTTCATGTCCTTTGGCCATTTTTTCTTTTTGGGTCACACTCAGCGATGCACAGGGGTTACTCCTGGCTCTGCACTCAGGAATTACTCCTGCAGTGCTCAGAGGACCATATGGGATGATGGGAATTGAACCCGGGTCGGCCGCCTGTAAGGCAAATGCCCTACCCGCTGTGCTACTGCTCCAGCACTCTTTTGGCCACTTTTATTTCTTCTTTGAGAAAGTTTCTGTTCATTTTTTCTCCCCATTTTTTGACAGGATTCGATGGCTTTTTCTTGTAAAGTTCTACCAGTACCATATATATCTTGGCTATTAACCCTTTATTAGATGGGTATTGGGTAAATATTTTTTCTAATCTGTGGGCTGTCTTTGTATCTTGGTCACTGTTTCTTTGGAGGTACAGAAGCTTTTTGGTTTAATGCAGTCACACTTGTTTATCTTTGCTTCCATTTGCTTGGTCAGTGGTATTTCATCTTTAAAGATGCTTTTACGGGCTGGAGAGATAGCACAGCAGGTAGGGCGTTTGCCTTGCACGTGGCCGACCCGGGACCTGGGTTTGATTCCCAGCATCCTATATGGTCCCCTGAGCACTGCCAGGAGTGACCACCGTCTCCTTCGTGCAAAATTCTACTTCACAGAGAGGGGAGAAAGGGCTGCAAAGTTTAAGAAAAGAACCCCCAGAACGACCACCAACTGGGAGCTCTTTGGCACTATTGCTGCAACATGGGAAGATGCCAGCATTGACAACACTGACGAGGAATACGATCAACTGGTTCAGCACCTCCATGATTGTGCAAGGAATGCCAAGAGGGAGATAGCCACAAAAAAAACGCCTATTTTCGAAAACTCTTGAGCTTATTCGCCAATGTGGTTTGGTGCATGCCTCAGGCAACCACAAGTGAACCCAAAAAGCAGAAAAAAAAAAAAGATGCCTTAGCTTCAATGACATGGAAGGTTCTGTTCACAGAACCTTATGGTTCCACTATGTATTTTATGGATTCAGGCAGCACTGTTCACAATAGCCAGAATCTGGAAACAATCCAAGTGCCCAAGAACAGATGACTGGATAAAGAATCTATGGTACATCTACACAATGGAACACTATGCAGCTGTTAGAAAAAATAAAGCTATGAAGTTTGTTATAAATGGATGGACATGGAGAATATCATGCTGAGTGAAATGAGTCAGAAGGAGAGGGACAGAAACAGAATGACTGGACTCATAGTTAAAAAAAAAAAAAAAAACCTAATATGAGGCCAAATATCCAAGGACGGTAGGTTCAAGGACCAGAAGAATTGGTCCACAGTTGGAAGCCTACCTCAAATGTTCGGGGAGGAAAAGACAGTTGGGATAGAGAAGGGACCACCATGACAAAGAGAGTTGGAAATAATCACTCTGGATAAGAACTGTGTGCTGAAAACAGGTAAAGGAACAAACATGATAACCTCTCAGTACCTGTATTGCAACCATAATACCCCAAAGTGGAGACAGAGAGGGAGAGAGAAGGGGAGGGAAAGGGAAGAGTGGGGGAGAAGGAGGGGAAAGAAAAGCGCCTGCCATAGAGACAGGCTGTGGGGAGGGTGGCAGGAGGGAAACTGGGGACATTAGTGGTGGGAAATGTACATTGGTGGAGGGATGGGTGTTGGAATACTATATGACTGACACCTGACCATGATCAGCTCTGTACCTCTGTATCTCACAGTGATTCAATTTAAAAAAAAAATCAAATAATTACCTTTTTGGGGTCTAGGGGATAATCCAAGGTGCTTTCCCAAAGTAGTTTTCCTTTCAGCCGTTAATGACTACATACAGAAAATATTGTTTAGTATTTTATCATTATAATTGTCACAACAGTTAAACAACAACAAAATATTTTATAAAGTATTTAAAACCCTAAACTATATCCTCTGCTTGGAGGGCATGCTCGGAATGGGAGATGCGTGCTGAAAGGAGACTACAGACCGAACATGATGGCCACTTAATACCTGTATTGCAAACCATAACACCAAAAAGGAGAGAGTATGAGGGAATTTGCCTGCCACAAAGGCCGGGGGTTAGGGGTGGGGGCGGTGGGAGGGATACTGGGAACATTGGTGGTAGAGAATGGGCACTGGTGCAGGGATAGGTACTTGATCATTGTATGACTGAAACATAAGCACGAAAGTTTATAAGTCTGTAACTGTACCTCACAGTAATTCATTAAAAAACTTTTTTAAAAAAAGAGAAAACTGTATCCTGAATATACTCCTCATATACTCAGTTAAAAGTGTATTTTCAAGAATATAAATATAGAGCTGTCCAAATAACATTACTCATTATGTATTTTGAAGTTAGCACATATCAAAAAGATAGCTCCAAGGTCTAGAGCATATATATGGCATGCACAGGGACCCAAAACTGATCCCTGGTACTAAATGAGTCCCCTAGCATCACCAGATGGGGGCCTGGAAGCCCCGAAGCACCACTTGGAAGGCGCCGATAGCCCCCAAGACTACTTGGAAATGCCTCACATCCCTTAAGAACACAAAAATGATCAGATTTATAAAATTTAACCCAACTATCTAACTATCCAACTATGAACATGTCATAAATACATTTATGATAAAAAGTAGGATTCTGGCCGGAGCAATGGTACAGTGGATGGGGCATTTACCTAGCACGTGGCTGACCCGAGTTCAATCCCCAGCATCCCATATGGTCCCCCAAGTACAGCCAGGAGTAATTCCTGAGTGCAGAGCCAGGAGTAATCCCTGAGCATTGCTGGCTGATACCCAAACAGCAAAAAAGAAAAAAGAAAAAAAAAGTAGGATTCTACAGTTTGGGCTTCCATGTTCTTGCATGACATAAATAGGTGAGCTCTAATTTGCCTAAACCCAAGGAAGAAGGGGATAAAAAGTGAAGTACTGATTATTGTAGTGTTTTATTCCCAGCACCACTCCACACAGCTGAGTGTGATGCCAGGGGCACTGCACCTAGGATTCCAAGTGCCACCAGTGAATGATCTCCAGAACAATGTAACCAAGACTGTTACAAGCACTACAATTAAAATGAGATCTGTGACAGGCACTACAACAAAAAGTGTAAACACTACTACTAACTGTAAAACTCAATACCACAAGGACAATAAAGGGAAGAGAAAGGAATAAAGAGTGTGTGTGTGTGTGTGTGTGTGTGTGTGTGTGTGTGTGTGTGTGTGACTGTAGTGGCCTGAGTATCAGGAACCTATGACATTCAGGTAAAACAACTTTACAAATACTTTACCTGAGTCCCAGAAGTGTCCAAAAAGCCTTCTCCGCACCTAAGCCATTCTTCAGAGAGGGAAGAAGCTGTACCCACTGTTCTGGGACCTGCTTTTCTGATATTCAGTGAACTCTCTCCTGGAAAGGATGGAAAGTCTGTATTCCAATTTCTTTTTCTCTGTAGTGAATATTTTCAAAGAAAAAAGAAACTTTATTATTAAATATACACTGAGTTTGCAAAATGCAAGTCACACCCACCACCTGGCCCCCTGGTGCCGTGTAATCCCATCAGCGGCCAAGACTCAGAGACTATAAAATCCAGATCCCGGACAAGAACAGTGCAGTCTTCTGCCCCCGCGCCTGGTTGTTCCTTCCCGGGGCCCCTTGGAGGGGAGCGGGTTGAGCTTTCCTCCCCGCCCTGACCAGGGCTCCGGCAGCCGAAGACCTCCAAGACCAGCCACCCCCATGCTGAGACCACTCTCCGCACACATGAAGGTACTGGCAGAGGGACAAAGCCATGCGGGTTCCGGGGCCGAGACCTCCAAGCCTACTCGGATTGGAGTCGAGCATCTTCCACCCAGATCCTCCAAATTCCAGTAGGCGGGGGTCACACCCACCACCTGGCCCCCTGGCGCCGTGTAATCCCATCAGCGGCCAAGACTCAGAGACTATAAAATCCAGATCCCGGACGAGAACAGTGCAGTCTTCTGCCCCCGCGCCTGGGTGTTCCTTCCCGGGGCCCCTTGTAGGGGAGCGGGTTGAGCTTTCCTCCCCGCCCCGACCAGGGCTCCGGCAGCCGAAGACCTCCAGGACCAGCCACCACCATGCTGAGACCACTCTCCACACACATGAAGGTACTGGCAGAGGGACAAAGCCACGCGGGTTCCGGGGCCGAGACCTCCAAGCCTACTCGGATTGGAGTCGAGCATCTTCCACCCAAATCCTCCAAATTCCAGTAGGCGGGGGTCACACCCACCACCTGGCCCCCTGGCACCGTGTAATCCCATCAGCGGCCAAGACTCAGAGACTATAAAATCCAGATCCCTGAACCGCACGGCCGCATTTGTGGCCGTGCGACATCTTATCAGAACTTTTTTTATGACATCTTATTGTCTCCTTCCTACTTTGGACAAACTTGCAGGCTATCGAATGTAGCCTGCCCACAGGGCAGAGTCTGGCAAGCTCCCCGTGGCGTACCAAATATGCCAAATACCAGTAACAATGATGGGTCTCATTCTCCTAAAGAGCCTTGAATATAATCTCAGGGCTAGGATGAAAGAGACGTTACTGGGGCCTGCTCGAGGCAATCGACAAATAACAGGATGATGAAATGAAATGAAAATACACTGAGTTTGCAAAATGCAAGTGGAGAAAACTTAACAACCACCCCTCCAGAGTCCGAAGAGGTATTGTATTTAAAGGAAAAAAGCTGAGAAACAAGGGAGCAATTGGCACCTGGAAACACTAGAAAAGGAGCAAGTAATCTGAAAGGTATTTTCTAAAAGGGAGGTTACAGAGCAAGAGCCCCACCTCAAGAAGATTCAAAAGGGTGACAACATTCAAGGAGAAATGTCAGAGTTAATCTGTTCAACATTACAAGGATAGCTGAACCAAAAACATGGGGGAAAAAAAGAAAAGTTACCATGGGAGGACAATCAGGAAATATCTAACAAATGGTCAAAATTCTGCAAAACACAAGAAAAAAGAGAAGGTAGAAATGTTACAGAGGATCCTGCATCTTAAAAATTCTGAAAAATCTGGGCTGGAGTGAGTGCAGCAGGTGGGTGCTTCCGCTGCACACGGCAACCTGGCTGCCATCTAGAATCCAGTCCTGGCAGGCGTGATTCCTAAGTACAGAGCACAGGGGGTGTTGCTCCAAAACAGAAACAAAACAAAACAAGATTCTGAAAAACTATAATAGAAAAGAGTGGCGATGCTAAAGGATCAAAACCAAGCCTCATATAAAGTTTTTAGAAAGAATAAAAAAGAGGCAGAATACCTCAACACATAAAGACGGTGCACCAAAGACTTGCCGATAGTACAGCAGAACTGCAATCTAATATTTCTAACCATGACATTAACATTTTAAAATCTCATAAATTAAGTAACCAATTTAAGAAGTAGAATAAAATATGTGAATGACCTCAAATTAAAAGGAGCATGCTGTGCTCGCTTCAGCAGCACATAAACTAAAATTAGAACAATAGAGAAGATTAGCATGGCCCCTACGCAAGGATGACATGCAAATTCGTCAAGTGTTCCATATTCTTGTGAATGTCGGGAGAAAGGGACTCTCCATTGCTGGTGGGAATGCCGACTGGTTCAGCCCTTTGGAAAAACAGTATGGACGTTTCTCAACAAACTAGAAATTGAGCTCCCATTTGACCAACCCAGCAATACCACTTCTGGGAATATATCCCAGAGATGCAAAAAATATATAGTAGAAATGACATCTGCACTCATATGTTCATAACAACACTATTTACAATAGCCAGAATCTAGAAAAAACTCAAGTGCCCTAGAACAGATGACTGGCTAAAGAAACTTTGATACATCCACACAATGGAATACTATGCAACTGTTAGAAAAGATGAAGTCATGAAATTTGCATAAAAGTGGATTGACATGGAGTATCATGCAAAGTGAAATGAGTCAGAAAGAGAGGGACGGACATAGGAAGACTGCACTCATTTGTGCTATATAAACTAACAGTATGAGAGATCTACACCCAAGGACAGTAGAGACGAGTACCAGGAAGATTGCTTCACGGCCCGGAAACGGGCCTCACATGCTTGGAGAAAAGGTAGTTAAGATAGAAAAGGAACTACCAAGAAAAGGATGCTTGGAGGACCCACTCGGGATGGGAGGTGTGTTCTAGAGTAGACTATAGAGCAAAGATGATCACCACTTAATACGTGCACTGCACACCACAACACCCTAAAGAAGAGAGCAAATAAAAAGGGAATCCACCTGCCACAGAGGCAGAGGGTAGGGGACATGGGAGGGGGATGAGGAGGGATACTGGGAACACTGGTGGTGGAGAATGGGCACTGGTGGAGGGCTGGGTACTCAATCATCGCATGATTGAAACGTGAGCATGAAAGTTTGTAAGTCTATACCTGTATTTCATGGCGATTCATTACAAAATTAAAAATTAAATAAAATAATTTTTTAAGTCAAAAAAAGGTTAAAAGGAGGAAAAAAAGGAAACCTACAAACCTACGAATGCAAAGATCCTCAACAAAATACTAACAGAATACAACAAAACATCAAAAAAGATCATAGACCATGACCAAGTGGTATTCATCCTGAAGATGCAAGTACGATAGATGGAGAGAAAGCATTTGACAACAAGCAGCATATTCATGATAAAAAGTCTCCAGAGAATTAATGGAACTTGAAGGAACTTCCCTCAACACAGTTAAAATCATTTACCACAGCCCACAGCAAGTCTAATACTCACTGGTCAAAAACAGAAAGCCTTTCCTCTAAGACCTGGATGTCTACTCTCAGCATTACTATTCCATATACTACTGGAAGTCCTTACCATAGTAACTAGGCAAGAAAGAGATATCAAGGGTACACAGACAGTAAAAGAAGTCAAGTCCTCACTATTTTCAAATGACATATTATACTTAGCCCTAAAGGCTCAGCAAAAATAACTTCTAGCGGGGGCCGGAGCAATAGCACAGCGGGTAGGGCATTTGCCTTACACGCAGCCAACCTGCGTTCAATCACTGGCATCCCATATGGTCCCCCAAGCACCATCGGGAGTAATTCTTGAGTGCAGAGCCAAAGTTACCACTGAGCATTGCCAGGTGTGACCCCCCCCCCCAAAAGAAGACAAAAAAAAACCTCCTATACAACAGTCTTGTATAGTAAAATGACAGATTATAGAGTCAACATGCAGAAAACCGTAACTTTTGTTTTTTCCTTTTTTGGACCATACCTGGCAGTGTTCAGGGGTTACTCCTGACTCTGCACTCAGGAATTATCCTGTCAGTGCTTGGGGGACCATATGGGATGCTGGGGATCAAACTGGGGTTGACCATTCATGGTTTTTCTATATGCAAATAATAAAACAGGAAAGAAATTAACAAAAACAATTCCATTCACAATTGTGCCTCAGAAAATTAAGTGCAGAAGAGAGATTTTTAAAAAATGTCCCCAAGCAAGTAGAAACATAAACAAATGGAATGACGTTAAGCAAAGAAGCTTCTGCACCTCAAGAGAAGCAGTGACCAAAATAAAGAGAGAGCCCATGGAATGGGAAAGAATATTTACCCAATACCCATCTGATAAGGGATTAGTATCCAGTATATACAAGACACTAGTAGAATTATAAAAGAAAAAAACCTCCAACCTCATCAAAAATTGGGGAGAAGAAATTCACAGAGGCTTCCACAAAAAAAGAAATACAAAAGGCCAAAAGGTACATGAAAAAAAAAATGCTCTACACAGCTAATCATCAGGGAGATGCAAATCAAAACTAGGAATTGGGCTTTCATATGACCCCGCACTCCTAGGAATATATCCCAAGGGTGCAAAAAAGCACAGTAGAAATGACATCTGCACCTGTATGTTCACTGCAGCACTGTTCACAATAGCAGAATCTGAAAACAACCCAAGTGCCCAAGAACAGACGACTGGTTAAAGAAACTTTGCTATATCTATACAAAGGGAATACTAGGCAGCTGTTAGGAAAGATGAAGTCATGAAATTTGCTTTTAAGCAGACGATCATGGAGAGTATCATGCTAAATGAAATAAGTCAGGAAGAGACAGAATGACTGCACTCATTTGTGGAATATAAAATAACATAATATGAGGGGTTGGAGCAATAGTACAGCGGCCTCCCCACTGTGCTATGGCTTCAGGCTCAAAACTAGTAACATTCTTAAATCAGGATTCAGTCTAAGTGCCTAACATGAAGGTTTTGGCTGGCAAAGTAGGAATTTCAGAAAATATAGCTTTTAAAGATACTCCCAGCCTTCTGATCAGTCACTAGCAAAAATAAAGTAAGGAATTTGCCCATCCCATGCATGAAGTTCCCTTTCCTCAGGAAGTTCTAAGAGTAATCTGGATAAAAGAACATTTGGGTGACTCCATTTCTCCCTTCCGGTGCTTTAGTATCCCCTCTTACACTTTAAACTAACCAAAAGTGAACACACAAAAATCCTAGACATTCCCCCAAGCCCTGATATAGACAGACTCCTTGGGCAGGCTGTGTACCCTCCAGGATTTATGAGTAATTAATCTTGTTTCCCCAAATTACCTGACAGCTTTTGCTGAAGTCAATAGTCTAACTATAATCAGAACCACAAGGAGTGGTCCAGACACAATACTAGGGCTGGGGCTGGGGGAAGACCTGTGGTGGCTTGCTACAATGCCCGTGCATTACCGAGGAATGCCCAAGTCATTACCAGCAGAGAACATCATTATCCATCATCGGGGACCAATACCACACAGGAGAAAGGGTCAGAGTCTGAGAGGCTAAGAATTATTGATACTGAGTAGTTTTGCTGTAGATTGTGTGTGCCAGCGGGGCCTCTCCCCCCACCTACTGATCAGAGTCTAAAATGACGGGGGGGGGGGGGGGGGGGGGGAGGGGGGGCCTGAGGAGGTAGCATAGCAGGCAGGGTGCTTATTTTGCAAGAACTGACCTGGGTTCATCCCTGGCACTGCCAGGGGTTATTCCTGAGAACAGAGCCAGGATTAAACCTTGACACCACCAGGTGTGACGACCCCCCCATCAAAAGAAGAACAAGAAGAAAACTTAAGGCCAGGGAGATAGCTCAGGATACAGCTCTTGTCTCGCATGTGTAAGACTCTGAACTTGATCCCTGACACAATAAAGTAAATTGGACTAAATAAATTAATTCGACAGACGGGTCAAATTGCTCAAGGGGCTGAGCGCTTGCTCTCCACGCGGAAGACAGAGTTCCGTCCGTCCCGAGCCACAGTACGGAAGCCCAGCGGGTCGGTCCCCAGCATCCCAGCATCCCATCTCGGGTGACTCCCGGGTGAGCAGCCGGGGGAACCCAAAGGCCAAGCGAGAAAGGAGACCGGGTTCAGCCCTGGCACCACGTGGGGCCCCAACACGGCCAGGGGCAACCTCACTGCACCGCCACGCGGGGCTCAAAACCACCTTTGCAGCTCTCAAAACGGAAATCTTCCCAGCAGCATCTTTCCGGCTTTTTAAACAATGAGGTCAAAGGTCACCGAGCGGCGACAGCGAGCCTGGAGGACCGCCCGGCACCGGCTCTTCGGGGGGCGGGGGTGCCCGGCCAGGCAGTGCTCAGGGGCTGCTCCTGGCCCGGTGCTCACGGGACTCCGCGGGGCCAGGGCGGCAGAGCCGCGTGCGGGCCCGGGCCCGGCGGGCGTCTGCCACCGCCTGCCTCGGGCGGGCGCGGGGGCCACGCGTCGTCTCCGCCCGGGACACCGGGGGGAGGGCGGCGCCGCGCCGGTTCCTCAGACTCGGCGTGAGGGGCCACGGCCGGGCCCCGGCCACGCCGCCGTGACGGGAACGCGGGGCTGCGCGGCGCGCTCTCGTGGCGGGGACTGGACGGGACGGGACGGGCGGCGTCGGGGACCGGCCTGCCGGGGAGGCGCGGGGTCCGGGGGCGCGGGGACTGGCGGCCCGCTCCCCTCCCGCCCGCGGGGAGGCGGGACGCCGCGCGCACACGGCCCGGCCCGCGCCCAGCGTACCTTGGGGCCACGGGGGCGGCCTCTCCCGAGCATCGCACGCACACCGAGGCACCGGCGCCGGGGGCGCCCCACGCCCGCCCCGCTGAGGAGAACGAGGCGGCGGCCGGCACGAGGGGGGCGGCCACTCCCGCCGCACGCGCCTCGCCGAGCGCGCCCGCCGGCTTCCGCGCGGGGGCCGGGTCTTCCCTCAGGCCCCGCCCCGCGGCCCGCCCACCGAGGAGCCGGCAGCCGGGGGGCGGGTCTTCCCTCAGGCCCCGCCCCGCGGCCCGCTCACCGAGGAGCTGGCAGCCGGGGGGCGGGTCTTCCCTCAGGCTCCCAACGAGGAGCCAGCAGCCGAGGGGCGGGTCTTCCCTCAGGCCCCGCACCGCGGCCCGCCCAACGAGGAGCCGGCAGCCGTGGGTCGGGTCTTCCCTCAGGCCCCGCCCCGCGGCCCGCCCAACGAGGAGCCGGCAGCCGTGCGCCGGGTCTTCCCTCAGGCGCCCAACGAGGAGCCAACAACCGAGGGGCGGGTCTTCCCTCAGGCGTCCAACGAGGAGCCAGCAACCGAGGGGCGGGTCTTCCCTCAGGCCCCGCCTCTCGGCCCGCCCAACGAGAAGCGGGCAGCCGTGGGGCGGGTCTTCGCTCAGGCCCCGCCCCTCGGCCCGCCCAACGAGAAGTCAGCAGCCGAGGGGCGGGTCTTCGCTCAGGCCCCGCCCCGCGGCCCGCCCATTGAGGAGCCGGTAGCCGTGGGGCGGGTCTTCGCTCAGGCCCCGCCCTGCGGCCCGCCCAACGAGGAGCCGGTAGCCGTGGGGCGGGTCTTCGCTCAGGCCCCGCCCCTCGGCCCGCCCAACGAGAAGCCAGCAGCCGAGGGGCGGGTCTTCGCTCAGGCCCCGCCCCGCGGCCCGCCCAACGAGGAGCCGGCAGCCGTGGAGCGGGTCTTCTCTCAACTAGGAGTCAGCACCTATGAGGGGGGCCTGAGGGAAGATCCGCCCAACACTGGATGGGCCGGCTTCCGTGAGAGGGGCGGGACCTGAAGGAAGGCCCGTCCCACCAGGCTGCTGGAGCCTCGTTGAGCGGGCTGAGAAGGGCGGGGCCTAAAGGAAGACCCGCCCCACAGGGCTGCTGGAGAGTTAGGCGGACGGAGAGAGGCGGGACCTGAAGGAAGGGAACCTGAAGACCCACAGCTGGTGGCGCCTGGTTGTGGGGACCGAGAGGGGCGTGGCCTGAGAAAGGACACGCCTCACTGCTGCAGGCTCCACTGTTGCGCGGGGAGCTGGAAAGGGGCGTGGCCTGAGGAAAGACACGCCCACACCTGCTGGCGCCTCGTTGGGCCGGCCTCCGCGAGAGGGGCGGATCCCGAAGTAAGACCCGCCCCACAGCTGGTGCGCGGCGTTGCGGCCCGGGGGAGCTGCGAGAAGAAGCGCCCGCTCCGGTTCGCGGCTACGCGGCGGGAAGCGGCCGGTCCGCCACAGCCCGAACTCGGCTGCAGCCGGTGCAGCTTTTGCTGCTTCGCCTTCCGGGACGGCCGGACGCCCAGGAGTTATGTGTGTCCAGGATGCCGCGTCCCCGGGCCCTTGCGCGAGGAGGACCCTCAAGCCGGGTTTGTTTCAGGTCGTGCCTCGAGGTGACCTTAAAGCCGAGGGCCCGTTAGTGCAGAGCCGTGTCAGGACGGTCGGACTGTTCCTTAGGGAGGAAAGTGTCGCCCCTTCTCACGCGCGAGCGAAGTCTAACAGAACCGTCAGGTACGGATGGAATAAGTGTCAGAAAAACGAAAACAACCAAGAATTGTTTAGAAAGACAAAAAAGAAAACCAAGAAATATCTGGAAATGGGGCTGGAGCGACAGCACAGCGGGGAGGGCGTTTGCCTTGCACGCGGCGGACCTGGGTTCGATTCCCAGCATCCCATATGGTCCCCCAAGAACAGAGCCAGGAGTAACCCCTGAGCATTGCCGGGTGTGACCCAAAAAACAACAGAAAAAAAAAAGAACTGTCTGGAAATGCAATATCCAACAGCCAGCTCAGGAAAAAAACCAGACCCTGTCCCAAGTCCACTCACTGATGCGCAGGAATGATGCCTTCCTTAAGACCAGGGAGTAAAGATCCCCAATCCTCAAAATTCATCCCCATGACAACCTTCTAGCTCTCACCTCAGCCCAAGCTGAGGCAGCTTGAGTCGCGGGGGGGAGGGGGGGGGGGACACAATTATAAAATCAGCTTCCGGATCGCGGTCCCCACTTATCTTGCATGTGGCCCGTCGAGGTTGATGCCCAGCCCACATGCGGTTCCCAGACCCCGCCAGAAGTGACCCCTAATCACCAAGACAATAGTAAGACCTGAGTACCACCATGTATGGCACCCTCCAAAAAAAAATAAATAAAATCAGCTTCCCTTATCAGTTTGATTCCTTCCAGGGTGACTAACTTAACTCTTTGGGCGCTGCAATTTGTCCTTGGTTTATGGCCCTCCGCTCTGGCTGGAGGTGACCATGTCCTCTTTTAGGGTATGAAATTGCTCTCCCTTCTTGTCTTTCTGTTTTTCCTGGAGAGACCTTCTCTCTCCTTAGAATCCATATCCTTTCTCAATCAAAACTGTTTCACTTCACTTTCTCCAGAAATTCTTTTCTGTGATGGAAAGAAAAGAGCCTGAACCCTTAGATCAGTCCTTCAGACTGACTTCAGCTCTGGTCTCCCCGGAGAGCCCCACCACCACCACCACCACCACCACCACCACATACACACACACACACACACACACACACACACACACACACCAATCAAATTTAGCAGTCCTAAAACCTACTAAAAGAAATTATTAAAACGGATGCTAGAATTTTAGATTCTGAAGTTTTATTTAAAGAAATTTACTTAGAAAAGTATGGAGAGAGAAACATGGGCTTCACCAGAGTGAAAACAAAAAGCTCCCAATTTGGATCTTTCCTGAGACAAGAAGTTATAAAAGTTCACTGCATAATTGCCATTTTGAGAAGCCTCTCTCTGCCTTCACAGACATCCCTTGCTTCTTTCACTTGTGACCTTCAGCTTTGTCACATAATTATTTTTGATTACCAGAGCAAGAATCCACTGGCTGTGGAATTTATTCTGCTAACACTTGAAGAAAATTTTAAAATAGAATACGATAAGAAGGGAAACTGGACAAAACTGAAATAAAGTCTAGGTAGTGATGTTCTAATGAAGGCATCTTTTTATTTTAATTTTTGGTAGGTTGTAAGCTAAACTATCTCTTCTTGATTTCAGTAGGAAAAAGATTAAATTGACATATCAGAGATTAGTAAAAGACAAACTTTAATTTCTTGTCCATGGAACTTATACATAGAACAATAAAATCACTGATCTGATTTTTTCAGAGAAGTTATAGTCTCCAGAAATAGAGCAATAAATTTAAAAGCAAAAAGACAAAGTAAGGAATTTAGCAATTTAAAGTAAAAAGAATGTGGAGCCAAAGCTATTGTACAGCGGGTAGGGCATTTGCCTTGCACACGGCCGACCCGGGTTCAATCCCTGTCATCCCATATGACTTCTGAACACCACCAGGAGTAATTCCTGAGTACAGAGCCAGGATTAACCCCTGAGAATCACCAGATGTGACCCAAAAAGCAAAAGCAGAAAGGGGGGAAAAAAAAACTAATTTTGGAGAGGTAGCCAATGAGCAAAAAAGATCAGAGAAAACTGGAAGCCTGAATGTTGACTCTGTGGCCTGAATTCTTGCTGGGGATTTGTGTTTACACATGCTTTATAGGCGCTACAATATCTGGTAGATCTGAACTTTAAACCCAGGCTTGAGAGTTTCTGGTTACTGGCATGAAATTGTTGTCTCAGTGACTAAGGACTGTCACACTTATCTCAGAGTTAAGCTTCATTCCAGATATACCATATGGTTCTTGAGCACTTAGTAGGTGGCAACTGGGGGTAGGGTGGAGAACTTGTTATTTGGCACCTCTGTCAGAGTCCTTCCCTCTTCATTTGATGCCTGGGCCTTCCAAAGAAAATGCTTTGAAAGACTTGGCCTGTACACTGACAACCGATAGGGGACTGAGTCTGTTGGCTTGACTAACCAAGTGTCTGTCAGCCCAGGAATGGAAGAATCCAGTTAGACACCAGCAGCCTCAGAATCTACAGCAGTGCTGGCTCTGATTCAGGCTTCCAGTTCTTCCCTTCTCAGAGCATATGAAAAAGCTGTATATCTGGGAAATATAGTATGCAACACATGTCAAATGTTTCCCTGTACTTTAGAGATTTTCAACCTTATTTCCTTAAAAATGACTATTTTTTAAAATTTGGGGCCATAGAGATAGTATAGTGGATAGAGCATTTGCCTTGCATGCAGCCAATCTTAGTTCGATCCCCAGCACCAGATAGGTCCCCAAGTACCACCAGGAATGAGCTCTGAGCACAGAGCCAGGAATAATCCCTGTGGTCAGTCAGGTATGTCTTCTCTCACAGGAAGTTATTTATTTGTTTTTAAATTTATTTTTGGTTTGGGGTCATATCCAGTGGTGCTTGGGGGCCGCTCCAAGCCCTGTGTCCAGAAGTCACTCCCAGCAGTGATTGGGAGATCAGGTGGTGTCAAATATTGGCACCATCCAGGCCTTGTATGGAAAGCATTTTTTGCATTTTCTCAGCCTACAGAACTATCTCTCCAGCCCTTAAATATGTGCTTTTTAAACATGCTTTTACTTGACCCCATTTCCTAGTCATATCTATGGTTTTTATATTATCTTTGCTTTTTCCCATTTTTTTGGATTCATTTTGCTATATAAACTGAGTTTAAACTGATACTTAACTATCTTTTTAAAAAAATTTATTTTCATAAGCTTGTTCACATTAATTAATTAAATTCAATATTTCAACACCAATCCCACCACCATTATTTCAAATTTTCCCATCACCATTCAAACCTGCCTGCCAGGGGCAGATGCTAGGCACTTTGTTTTCTATTGCTTTTTATGAATATCAGAGAGGTCGCACGACTGCAAAAGCGGCCATGTACTCCTGGAATTCTAAAATGGTAAATGGTTGGGGTCCACAGGCATCTCTGTAGGGATCTAATCCATTCTGAGATTCATTTGTG